AAAATTTAAACATAATCAGTCAAAGCACGTCAGAGATTTGGCTCTAGTAAATCATTAATAAAATGGCCACCAGTGAGCCATTTCTAATCCGATCTCAAAAACAAAATGACGTACATCAGAGACCCATAATTTCTAATGTATATACCATGTTTGAACAAAATCCATCCATGTCACAGATCTTAAAAATGCTATATCTGATTGTTATATATTTTAGGTATTACAAAAACATTCATGATAATACAAAAATATTTGTGGAAAATTGTTGTGAACTATATAATTCGTTGGTGTTCTTTCAGTTGCATAATCACAAAATAGCTTAAATAAAACTTCCTTTTCAGTAAAACTAAATCTTTATCATAGTCTAAATATCTTACAAAATGGTGAATAAAATGTCTTCAATAGATTTGACAAATCTCTGGTGTGAATATGGGAATCATGTTAACATATGTCTGTATCAGGTTGAAAAATCATAAGCTTTAAATTGATGTGCATAAGTAAACCACTTAATCACACAAGGCAAAACTTGGTTTGTAAATGTACATCATTGTTACTCGGATCTCTAAAATGAATTCGATGCCGCAAGTCCGAGAGGCAGATGTGAGAGTTTGTAATTGAACTTTATATTTGCTATTATAAATTACATCGATAAACTGAATATTTTGATTGAATTGTGTGATAGAAAAGAAAGTTGTTTATTGTTTCTACAGTCAGATATACATTTGTTTCCACATACGAGGAAATATTGATAAGCAATATTGAGAAGTCTTGACAGAGTCACTGTTTGACCAATATGCTTGCTCCACTTACTAAAAAATGTTTCAGAGAAACTCCACCATATATTGTATGCACACAAATTTGCTTTGTATTTTAGTGGCGTTGGTTTGTACAACTTCTCATTGTACTCATTGTATATAAAATGTTATGTAGCAATTTCCACTGAAAGTCTTAGTCCTATATAAATTGCAAGTGAAAATGTTCTGTTATATATATATCCAATACATTTTCAGAGTATACAGTACTTGATTAGGATTCTCATTAGATATGTATTTACAACTGTTACAACAGCGACATGATTTATTGGAAGATTTTAATACGAATGGTCAAAATGTTGGGGTTCTTCTTTGCATGAAAAGTTTTCTAGGAAAACAACACCCACAATTAAATTTTTTTTTCACTTTCAAGTGGTGATTAACTAAATTATATGCAACTTAAATCGAATCATTTTAATGTTTACTCAAAAAAAATACTCTGCACTTCACAGGAACTACAAACGTCTGCCAAAATAATTAAGGTGCTTTTTCGAAAGAAAATTAATTTCCGTTTATGCACTGTAATAAGTTGATTGAATGAGATTACACTTCAGAACGTATCAACCATGGCTGTATAATCTGAATTCTTCCACAGCATCATGACTCCTCTTCTCAACAATGAAAACAGCATGCATAATAAACAATTGTTTCTGCTCCTCGTCGCTTAAATGCTCATCATATCCGTTACGCGTGACAGTTAACTGTTTTTTATCATTCATTGTTTCCCATCTATATGTATATTTCTCCTCTCTATGAATAATTAATAAATGTCTTTGACTGGTTATTTGACTATATATACACTCACACTGATGACAGTAAAACTGACTTACTGAATTAGGTATTACAGTAACATTTGGATTATTTGAATCTACCGGTATAAAAGTAAAATTTCCAAGCTTAAATGGATGTCTCTTTTTTATGTTATTGTATGAAGAGCAGTTCTCTTTGGAAGACATTTTATTGGCATGTGTTTGCATATGCCCTTTGAGATTACTTGACCAATTGAAACTCTTCTGACATTGCTGACAGTGATAAGGCTTCTCATTGGTATGTGTTCGCATATGCTGTTTCAGAGTACTTGAATGGGTGAAACTCTTCTCACATTGCTGACAGTGATAAGGCTTCTCATTGGTATGTGTACATGTATGCTTTTTCAGAGTACTTGAACGGGTGAAACTCTTCTTACATTGCTGACAGTGATAAGGCTTCTCATTGGTATGTGTTCGCATATGCTGTTTCAGAGTACTTGAATGGGTGAAACTCTTCTCACATTGCTCACAGTGATAAGGCTTCTCATTGGCATGTGTTCGCATATGCTGTTTGAGATTACTTGTCCAATTGAAACTCTTCTCACATTTCTGACAATGACAAGGCTTCTCATTGGTATGTGTTTGCATATGCTGTTTCAGAGTACTTGAACGGGTGAAACTCTTCTCACATTGCTGACAGTGATAAGGCTTCTCATTGGTATGTGTTCGCATATGCTGTTTCAGAGTACTTGAATGGGTGAAACTCTTCTCACATTGCTGACAGTGATAAGGCTTCTCATTGGTATGTGTTCGCATATGCTGTTTCAGAGTACTTGAACGGGTGAAACTCTTCTCACATTGCTCACAGTGATAAGGCTTCTCATTGGCATGTGTTCGCATATGCACTTTGAGATTACTTGTCCAATTGAAACTCTTCTCACATTGCTGACAGTAATAAGGCTTCTCATTGGCATGTGTTCGCATATGCTGTTTGAGATTACTTGTCCAATTGAAACTCTTTTCACATTTCTGACAATGACAAGGCTTCTCATTGGTATGTGTTTGCATATGCTGTTTCAGAGTACTTGACCGGGTGAAACTCTTCTCACACTGCACACAATGATAAGGCTTCTCATTGGTATGTGTTCGCATATGCCGTTTGAGAGTACTTGACCGGGTGAAACTCTTCTCACACTGCACACAATGATAAGGCCTCTCATTGGTATGTGTTCGCATATGCCGTTTGAGAGTACTTGACCGGGTGAAACTCTTCTCACACTGCACACAATGATAAGGCCTCTCATTGGTATGTGTTCGCATATGCTGTTTGACAGTACATGACCAGGTGAAACTCTTCTCACACCCCACACAATGATGTACCTTCTCATTAGTATGTGTTTGCATATGCTGTTTAAGATTACCTGAGGTGATAAAATGCTTCTTGCATTGCTTACAGCAATGTGGCTTCTCATTGGTATGTGTTTGCATATGCTGTTTAGGAGTACTTGACTGGGTACAACTCTTCTCACATTGGTCACACTGATATATTTCCATATTCATGAAATTGTCTTAAAATGGTTGGAGCAAAGCACTTCTCATCGTGTTCACAGCCTATATTTTATAAATATTTACCATTTTCACTACTTTACAGAATAACACACTTCCTAATTTGTGTATGTTCCAGTTCTGTTGTTGCTTAAGAATACTGCAACTGTAAAAAATATAGACATTTTGAAAGCAAGGTGAATGTGACCAATAAACTTTTTTGACCTGTGACTGAAGAGACAAACAATCATACTTAGCCCAGAAGTGTTGTTGCTTGGCACACTACTCTATGCTCTAGCAGGTTTGATATATAGGCTTGGCATTCAGAAAAAGAATGTGGTCATTTGATTGACACTCAATTACCCTTACAAAAGTTTAATATAGGATTCCTATAAGAATTCTATAGAACAAATTCCTGTAGGATTCCTATAATATTTTGACACGTGTTTTCCTATAGGAATCCTATAGGATTTTGTGTCAAAATATTATAGGAATCCTATTGGATTTTGTCCTATAGGAATCCTATAGGTTTTTGTGTCGAAATATTATAGGAATCCTATTGGATTTTGTCCTATAGGAATCCTATAGGATTTTGTGTCAAAATATTATAGGAATCCTATTGGATTTTGTCCTATAGGAATCCTATAGGTTTTTGTGTCAAAATATTATAGGAATCCTATTGGATTTTGTCCTATAGGAATCCTATAGGATTTTGTTCAATAGAAATCTTATAGGATTTTGTGTCAAAATATTATAGGAATCCTATTGGATTTTGTCCTATAGGAATCCTATAGGTTTTTGTGTCAAAATATTATAGGAATCCTATTGGATATTGTCCTATAGGAATCCTATAGGATTTTGTGTCAAAATATTATAGGAATCATATTGGATTTTGTCCTATAGGAATCCTATAGGTTTTTGTGTCAAAATATTATAGGAATCCTATTGGATTTTGTCCTATAGGAATCCTATAGGTTTTTGTGTCAAAATATTATAGGAATCCTATTGGATTTTGTCCTATAGGAATCCTATTGGATTTTGTCCTATAGGAATCCTATAGGATTTTGTTCAATAGAAATCTTATAGGATTTTGTGTCAAAATATTATAGGAATCCTATAGGTTTTTGTCCTATAGGAATCCTATTGGATTTTGTCCTATAGGAATCCTATTGGATTTTGTCCTATAGGAATCCTATTGGATTTTGTCCTATAGGAATCCTATAGGTTTTTGTGTCAAAATATTATAGGAATCCTATTAGAATTTGTCCTATAGGAATCCGTGTCAAAATATTATAGGAATCCTACATGAATTTGTCCTATAGCAATCCTGGATATTTTTCCTGGAGGTTCCAGCTGTTTTGGGGAAAGAGCCCATCAATCACTTACATAAATAACATCATAAACTAAAATTAGTTAAACAAAGAATATTTTATTGCTTAACATGTACCAACTTAAATTTAATACAATTGTAAGAAAAATATAAAAAAAGATAAAACTATTACCATAAATATATTGCACAACATTTCTTGAAATGCAATGAAAATATAAAGTTGATGACATTTGAATAATAAATGTAATTCCCTCCACTCTGTCATTGTTTCTAAGTACTAGATTTTTTTCATAAAAATTATTTTATATTACCGAGTATTCCAAAAAACAAAACAGTAAACAATCTCAACCAGCAATTACAAACTT